GGCCCAAGCGGGAGATCGGACATGCTGGCGCTGTGCTACTGCGCACTTTGTAAGTGTGTCAGACGGCAGTGCTGTGTGCCAGCACTCATGCACTCGCTTACACTCAGTTACTCAATCACTCACTCACTCAACCAATCAATACATGGGCGCTAGTGTAGTCCATCGACGAATACCATACATCCTCCTCGCGGGTCGCCTTGCATCTCTGTTGTTCTTGGTGGTGTTCGGCATCAGGCTGCCATTGTGGCAATGCAGACTCCCTCCGGTCGTCAAAGCTTTGCTGCCTCGGGCGACAGAGAGCAGTAAGATGCCCCTTGCAAGAGGGTCGCAAGAGAAGCCCAAGCTGGTGAGGACCCGCTGATCAATTGTCATTCCGAGGAAGCAGGTGCTGCCACTGCTGCGAACACCTGCGAGAAGATGTGGCGAGTGCCCCATTCACTTCTTTTACTTCGCTACAGAACCGGTCTTCTGCGCGGTTCGCTGTTTTAAGCCAAAGGCAGAGTCACCCATGACCGTAGCGCAGAGAAGATTTTAACTTGGCCCTGGCAAGAGATCGGACACGCTGGCGCTGTGCTACCGCACGCCTTTAAGTGTCCATGCTTGTCTTGGGTTGGCGCTTCAACCACTCGCCGAGGGCCACGCCCATGGATGTTTACTGAGCTTGAGCGATTTTGTGGCACACATCCGACAACGCTCCTGTTTAGGGCCTTTCGTTTAGTAGGTTCTCTCCGGCATCCTTCGTTACAGAGTTTGATTGGCCCTTGCTATAGTTCCGTTCATTCCGTTCCACCTTACACCGCCCTGCTCGAGCTTTCTCACAGTCCACTTCCAACTTGCGCCGCCCTCACAAGTAGGTACTGGGCGTTGGTTAGTGCCTCCCCTTTCAGTCATGCCGTTGAGCTGTTGCACATTGCGGATTGTGCAGGAGACTGTTGCCCGGCCCTCGCAGCGCAACATGCCTCCCAGCATTGCATGAGAATGGCGCAACTTGTTGGTTTTGTTTTTGATGATGTGCGGTGTGAGTGGAGGCAGCTGTCTTCCTACATGGTCCCCTGATATAAACGCTCGACATGCGAAGGAGATTTCTCATCGGCCCAAGCGGGAGATCGGACATGCTGGCGCTGTGCTACTGCGTACTTTGTAAGTGTCCAGCCTGATGACAGGCGCCTTGCGGCGCATTGCTGAGTCACGCTCGTCTTTCTCAGCATCGTGCAATGTCCAGGGTTCGTGCGCTCTCATGTGGAGGTCCATGGTTGCCTCTGCTGTGTATAGTCTCAGTGTCTCAGAGGGCAGTGCTGCATGGCAAGTCCAGGGCGTCTAAGCGTTATCTTGCTTGGCAACTGTGCTCGTGCCCGTAGGTGCTTACTCACTCGCTCACTCAATCAATCAATGAATGTTTCAGCACTGCGGACGTGCGCAGCAGTTTAAACCCCTCCTGTAGGAGTTTATCCAGACGTTAAGATTGGTTGGTCCGTGTCAGCTCGGGTTCGGTGCGCGGCAGTGGCACGTCAGTGAACGCGCCAGCGAATACCGAAAATGCCGGCGCCTTAGATGCTCCGCAGCGCGCATCAGCAATGCGATAGCTTCGGCGCTAGTACCATTTTTTAGAACAGCATGAAACAAAGGGTTTTGAACACTGCAGGGTGAGCTTCTTGCACCCGGTCTCGTTTCGTGCTTCTCCCGATGCACCCCTTCAAGAAAAAGGGTTGCTGCTCGGATATGCGCATGAGGCGAGGCTTGCGAAATGGCAGCTGTGCTCAGGTCACAGACGGTTTTAGATGGATATTGCACCCGTTTTGCACGAGTCGGCGTGAGGCACAAGCACGCCTTTGCATGCTTGGCCGACCCGTTTTCCTTGAGTGAGCTTCATCAATCAAGCAATTAGTCCTTCGGCGCTAATGTAATCCATCGGCGAACACAATACATCCTACTTGCGGGTCCGCTTGTATCTCTGTTGTTCTTCGTGTTTGGCATCAGGCTGCCATTGTGGCAATGCAGACTCCCTCCGGTCGTCAAAGCTTTGCTGCCTCGAGCGACAGAGAGCAGTAAGATGCCCCTTGCAAGACGGTCCCAAGAGAAGCCCAAGCTGGTGATAACCCGCTGTTTACTCGTCATTCCGGGGAAGCAGCTGCGGCCACTGCTGCGAACACCGGCGAGAAGATGTGGCGAGTGCCCCGTTCACTGCCTTTGCTTCGCTGCAGGTTCTGACAGCCTGATGATCTGCGGTGTGAGTGGACGCAGCTCTCTTCCCGCATGGTCCCCTTGATATAGTCACCCGTTGCTGTATCCTGCAGAAGTTGGTGATGTGCTACTGCGTACTTTGTAAGTGTCCAGCCTGATGACAGGCGCCTTGCTGCGCATTGCTGAGTCACGCTCGTCTTTCTCAGCATCGTGCAATGTCCAGGGTTCGTGCGCTCTCACGTGGAGGTCCATGGTTGCCCCTGCTGTGTATAGTCTTAGTGTCTCAGAGGGCACCGCTGCATAGTGAGTGCGGTGCATACCGGCTCCCTGCAGGTCGGCTCGAGTATCTGTTGCGCCACGTTAGCATTGCAGAAACACCACGAATCCCAGTTTGGCACAGTACTCTGTCTGCATCAAACGCAGTGCCTCTTGGGTCTCATGTATGCAGTGCGCTTCAGGATGGGCCTCTCGCAGTCTGCCCGAGTCTCGAGTTTGCGTGGGAGGGTTGGGCGAATTAGGCAAGAGCTCCGGACAGGCCCTGCCTGAGCGCTTGAATTCTGCGTCCGCCAACTCGGCAGGTGAACGTGAGCTGCGGGGCCCAGGATGTGAGGGCCTCGCCTCTTCCGGACCGGACGCAACCTGCCTTTGGTGGATCCTTTGGTTTCAGGGTTTGCTTTGCTTCATTGGGGTTTGTAGGGCTTCGGGCATAACAGGAAACCCGAAACTCTTTCGAGATGACCAGGTTCACAAGGAATGCTGGACGGCTTAATTTCGGAAATAGAGAAGATGCCTCAGCCTTAGCATACAGCAGGCGCTCAAAATACGAATCATCATTGATGAACACTTTAGCGGAGATTGCAACTCGCGAGTTTTCGGAAACCGCAAGGCTTCATCGCAGTCCCTTTGATTGTTCGGGCAGTGTGGTACAGGAACTCTCTGTTTGCAGAACTGGCGAGCGCCGGGGTCGAGCCGCGAACCTGTCACCTGGCGCTGCGACACCGCCCTGCGCTGCGTGTGCTGCGTGCGCAGCCGCGTCGCCAGGCCAGGCCCAGGGCCTTGTTGCGGTCCCGCCATATAATAATCATAGTAGTTCTATTAATCTTCAGAAGAAGAACAAATAAGATGATCTTACCTTTTGCTGGCTCTGCCTCTCGGTGCCGAGTGTCGCAACCTTGCGGCTTTGCTCTGAATCGCGCTTTGGGCAGGCTCCAACTGCTCCGTCGAGCTCTGCTCCTCTCAGGCGCGGTTCGCCGCTTTAGGAAAGGTTGCAGGCCGACAGGAGACCAGGCACGTGACTTACGAAGAAAGGCGGCGCGTGAAGGCAACTTGCCGGCACTCCATTTGGGCCACAGCCGGTCTGGAGAGTGTAGTGTGTCTGAGATGCCGCAGACCGGCACTCGTGCTGCGGCACACAGGGCCACCGCTAGGTTTCGAGGCGGTGCGAGCTCCTGGTGAGGAGCTGCGCTTTCGATTAGCAAGTTTGTGTGGGGCTTGCCCATGACGTTCAACAAGGCCTCCAGTGCGAGAGCGCTGCAAGCCGAGCCTGTTGCATCGCCAGCACTGCAGATGACTAAGACGAGAACTGTGCGCAGCTTCAGACATGAATTGCTAGCTCTGCTGATGCTGAGAATCCTGCCGACGTGATCCTGGATTTCCAATTTGTGCCCATAGCAAGCCCAAACCATCCCGACCGGCTGTCTGGTGGGGCGCCGTCGGTCGGTCTTGCGCCATGAGACGACTCAAAGCCCCAGCTGCACTGCAGATGGGCTGAAGTCTCAGAGCCGTTGCGGCACAGCACTTATTGGGCGCCACCGTGTCGCTCTGCGAGCTGCCCTGCCTGAGCCGAGATCAGGTCCAAACACTTTCATTCCGTCATTCATTAATTCAGTCGTTATTTCGTACATAGGTTCCTTCGTTCGTCCTGACTGCCGCAGGTATGCGTATCTCAGCTCTCAGGCTCTCAAGCCGGCGCTAACGAGGACAGGTTTCTCTGCGGTGCCGTGATGCGCCGGGTTCGGGTGTGTTCGACATGTCTTCCTTGCAGGCGAATCGGCGAAGTATGTTCCGCGTGCCAAAGTGCACTGACGTTCCGAACGGTTGGGCTTCACGTTAGCTGCTGCAGTGCGGTGGCATCACCATGGCGATGAAGCGAAAAGTCAACTTGACTCCTGCTTCATGCTTTTGCCTGTACCATCTGCTTCGGACGAATATCGATAGGTAGCCAGGAAGCTCAGAAGCTCTTTGCAACGGTGGGTGTCATTTTTCGCTTCGTTAGGCACTTCCTGACTCTTCCTCCATGATGGTTCAGGAAGATGATGATGTTGATGATGAAATGAAAATCCCAAACCAATGGTAACTGAAATGATTATGACACTGGTATTGTAATGGACGATAATGATGATGACGGCGATGATGTTGTTCTGGGTGGTGACGGTGGTGATGTTGGTTGTGGTGGCGGCGGTGGTGGCCCTGCTGCGGATGACTTTCCTGCACTTGGCTCCATGTCGGTTGGGGAGTGTTCTGACACTGCCATGAAAGCACGGGCCCAACTCAGGGAAACGGCAAGAGCTGAACGCATGGATCACTTTGGAGCTTTGATCGTCGCTTGTTATGTCGAGCGTATCGTCGTGCCGGTCGTGACATCTCGATATGACATGTGACGGACGCCGGTCGGCATGCAGCATGGGTGTAGGCACTTTTTCAGCACAGCAACTGGAACAGGCGGACGTTCCATGGATTAGGCGATAGCATGTTCAATAGGGCTTTCCCGGCAAGTGCGATGACCACGTCATTGAGTGCCAACTGCGACGTCTTGGGTCATGATCCTCCAATCGGTCATGGCCTCAAACTGCGCCTGCACGATTTCCAACGTGCAGTGTGGTTTGGAAAGGTCCCGAGTGAAGATTACGACGAGGAGGAAAACGGGCTTGTGTCCAACAGCCCTCGTCCGCCCGCCACAAGGACCTTTGCAATGTGATGATCCGGAATATGTGTATCGTATTTGGTGATGTGTCCAGGTGTAGCCCTGCCCAGAAATCTTTGTTGCTTCAAGGAAGCTCCCGCTAAAAGCGCGGCGCTGCTTGGCAGCACGCTTCGGATCTGTTGTAACTCTGAAACTGAAACGGGGGACAAATGAGTACGAGAGAGAACAACAGAGAGAGCGAGAGAGAGAGAGAGAGAGAGAGAGAGAGAGAGAGAGAGAGAGAGAGAGGGAGAGGGAGAGGGAGAGGGAGAGGGGGAGAGGGAGGCAGGGGGAGAGGGAGAGGGACACGACCCTGGTGGGGGTATGCATGCGGATGAATGAGGGGACAACTTTGCGAAGTAAGACAACAACAGAGGTGAAGATCTGATGGCACAGCGAGTAGTTTCGGGCCAAGCCCGGGTCTAAATCTACGTCTTGTTTTGTGTTTTAGCACCAGGAAATTTCTGCAGATCTGTTTGCGGCATTTTTTGTTCACATTGGAAAGCCAATCTATGTCTGGCTGTCACCACATGTATGCTTCACTGCAGTCGTGTATAGGCGCATATGCGCATGGCTGTGTGTGTGTGTGTGTACATCGCTTTGTACAACTATGTGCGCATGTGTACATGCAGCTACATGTGCATACATATGTTTCTGCCTTTGTCCATGTAAAGCCGTATTTTCATCTATCGGTATTTGGGTATACATGCATTGAGGCCGGTACACAGAAGGTCTTCAGCCCCCTGACTTGCATATGCGCAGCTCTCGCACACACACACACACACACACACGTAGAATTGCACATGTATCCTAGCTTGCTAGCATGCACATTGAACTGCAAAGAGCAAAATGTATCATCAGCAGAATATGCAGACAAGGAACAGCGGTAAAGAAATCGAAGCAAGCCACACAAGCAGTTTACCGTCTACCACAAGTGTTACAGTATCGAGAATTACATAGAATGCTTAACACACAAGCACTTCAGGCTATCGTTGTTGTAGAGTAGACGGAGCAAGGAGTGCAATTAACACCTGAGGGAAAGCCTTTCAGACGATACTTGTGGATGCAGCATCACTGTGACGAAATGTTAAGCCTGTGCCTGGCTGGTTGCGGAATGACACCTTGACTCGCAGGGATAACAGCTGCGGATCACCGAATATCGGAGGAGGACGAGGCCAGTGTCCGCAGTGATGTCCTTCAATTACGCAGCGATTTTGTGGGCAAGACAACCTGATAGATCCACGGGTGTTGCAAAGACATTGACGCCCTGCTGAGGCCAGTTGGAAGCTGGTGGCTCTTGGCATTTGTTGCTTCCTGGGAGTGGTCGCAGTGGGCGCATCGCTTGCCGTGTTGTCCCGGGTGGGGCAAGATGCCGGGGGAACCTTGCAGGGAACCCTTGGCAATGGAGCCACGGGAGTGAAGCCGGTGCTGGCCATCTTTGGCTTCACGATACTTGGGGAGGAAAGTGCAGAACAAGCGCTGCCTACGAACAACGCCGTGGCCTGGGTGGCCGCCAGCCTCCTCAAGGACCACGGCCATCTGCTGCTGTCCCCGTACGCAAAAGGAGAAGCCGCTTTCGCCACCCCCGAGGGGAGTGTTGTGAAGGGTTCCTACATACCGGACGGTGAATTGGTGCAGAGTTGGCGCCCCGCTGGTGCTGGCCGCCTCCTGAGAGCAAAGGCCTCCCGTGCGAGCGCACTGAGCCGCTGGACTGCACACCAAGTCCGCTTCTCCCAAAGTAGACTCGAGAAAGGTGCAGGATTTAAGCCAGCATGGCCAAGTATTCCTGTGAGTTGAGCTAGGCACCAAAGGCACAGTAGAGCTGCAGAGGTTGCGACCAGATTCTCCTTGTCTGAGGAGCTGTGGTGGTGGGGCCCATCTCGGAAATCCTCCAGGTGCGGCGTAAGTGCAGATACAACTCATGTAGTGAATGCAGTGCTCGCATCTGCCACTGTTGTAGCTCAAAGTTGTCGTTGGTCAATTCTCGTGACAGCCTCTGGCAAAATCCCTTTGGCGCAACCGTATTGGATAGATCAGATCGAAATGAAGGTACAATCGAAGAACAGAGATGTCCGGAGTCTCTGAGGATTGATGAACCCCTTGAGGCAACTTCGTCCCTGCATCCGCAGCAGGCTTGAAGTCTCGAATTCTGCACATGAGCAGAAACCGCAGAACAGGTAAGACTTTAACACTTTTCGGTGAAGCAGTTATTTGATGCAGCTGTGCCTGACAGTATCGTTCAGTTCATGCACTCGAACACTGGCCTAGGTCCTGTGGCAGTAGAAACCGAACAGAAGGCCAAATTGAGCTTTCCTTGCACATGGCAGCTCAAAGCATTGGCGCAGCAATTGAAGGAACGGTGCCACTTTGCAGCAATGGCACAGCCCAGCAACGAGCTGTCATAAATGTTTCCATGAAATTTGATGGGACAGCTTGCTCGGGCTCTGTTGCTGCTTAGGAAAGCCGTCGATGGGAGGGCTGTTCGCATCCCGCTTGCCAAGAGCAATCCTCACGAATATTGGCGAAGAGTGAGGACAGTTGGGCATGTTGAGCAGACGGGATGTAAGGCTGTTCTTGGTTCGGTTTTGTTTGCCGCAGGACTTTGTACCGAAGCTCTTTAGTTGCTTGGCAGAACGTCAGGTATTTCATTCCTAATTTTCCAGCAAGTTCGCTGGCTGGACGGAACATGTTGCCAAGGCAGTGATCTTGGGGAATATCCTCGAATGGTATGACTGGACGGTCTTCGGATACATGCAGGACATCCTCAAAGAAGTCTTTGCCGACGGCAGCGCAGATCAGGCATTGGCTCTTCCCTGAAAAATCCGTGGCTCAGAAGCGTCAGATCAGGCTTGGCTCCTCTTTGCTGTGCCCTTCTTGGCGCGACCCTTCGGCAGCCTCGTCTTCGGCTGGACCCGCTTGACTTCTTGCCTGCTTGCCTGCAAGGGAAGTCTCCTGTGCTTCTTTCGGTGTTTTCGTCCGCAGGATTGGAGACACCTGCGGCCGCGCCTTGTCGCTGCACCCTGGCGGAGGTTTCTTTCAGAGATTCCGTGGAGCTTCGCAGCTGTGCAGGCAACTGGCGATCTGGGGCATGGCGGTGGCGACGGCACTGCAGGGTTGCTTATTGCCCTCCCTTCCAGGAGCCTCTCGGGTTCTCGAAAGGTTGCTCGAAAGCTCGAACGGTCTCGAGTGTCCCTTGACAAGAACTTGGAAGCTCGAATTCTGGCGCCTGTCCAAAGGCAGCGCGTGTCGCCCTGCTGCCATCCACTTAGCCAAAGGAATCAGGAATGGGAACTAATGAAGAACGAAGAGACTCCAACATCCAGCAAGAACTCAATTCAATGGGTATGGGGCAGGCTTGGAGCAGCATCACAGTGAAAGGCACAAAAAGGTTGAAGGCCTGGTGCATAGCAGGAGTCACCTGGATGTTGGCTGCTTTGCGGCTAATTACTGGCCTGTCCGCCGGTGTCTTGTTTGCAGCACTTCAAGCCTGCGGCAGAGTTAGCTAGAAACTTGATGCCGCCCTGAGGCGGTGAGTCTGCCGGGGTGAACACCTACATGTCGGAGTTCGGAGAAGAGGACGAACGCGAAGCTTTAGCAGGGACTTTATGGACCAACAGCCTTGAAAATCTAGCCCTGTCAGGGGAAGGAGCACACGCTTGCAGCCGCCATCGGTGTCAACAATGTGACTTCCTCGGTGTGAGTGCCACAACCCTTAGACCTAGACTTGATGTCCGTGCTCTGTTTGAGTTCTTACAGGTGAGTGGCTCGATGGCTTTCTTCCTGGCCAACGCCGTCTCCCTGGCGGTGCATCAGCTGCCTCGTGAGACTCAGATCGCGCCTTGGGACGAAAATTCGCGCGGGAGCGGAAGCGGCGGATGCGGAGCGGATGCGGATCCCCCCCAAAAAAGAAGAAGCCTCGGAGGAAGCCTCAAAGTGTGAAGTAAACTTCGCTTCTCAGCCCAGGCCTGGGGCTGGCGCCTTCCGTTTCTGCTGGCGGCGCCTTTGGGCCTCGTCTCCGTGCCATGGCCATGTATGGCCGGTTTCTAAGCCTCCGCGTCGTTGAAGCTTCCACGGCGCCAAAAGGTACTTCTGCGTCGCGGCATGACGGAGACTGCCGAGTTCAGAAAGATCCTCGGCAAGAATGTTAGTGCCCTTTGAGGCCAGCTGTCTTCAGTTCTGCTGTGCAAGCGCAGAGGAAGTGTGATGCGGAGCAAAATCCAGCATCCTGCGTCGTGCCGGATGTACAGGACTGCTTGTGTGGGTTTCAACACCTCAATTCAAGGGGACTTTGCCTCGTGAACCGCGGCTTCTTGAGATTGCCCTCAGGAGAGCTCCGAGGAGAGTCGCTCGGAGAGCTCCGAGGATCCACCTGCGAGATGGCTTCGACTCGCTCTGATCCTCCACGAACTCCTTTTGTGAAAGTCAGAGTCATCATGCTATGGTCATTATCGAGTGTCGAACCTTTCGTATTTCCTGTTCGTCTTCTCCTCTCAGGCTTCCCGCTTCTCTGCATGGCACGCGCACATTCATGTAAAGCAGCGTCGGGCATGAGGCCCAACGCATGTCCGTGAGGACACTGAAGCTCAGAAGCTGCAAAGGACATCCAGGCGCGTTGGGTCTGATTGCTGCTGCAGGAAGTGCTACAAGAACATCATGTAGCCTCCACCTTGTCGCCGTTGAAAAGGCCTCTATCCTTGCGTGCCTTCGCCGCCCGCGCCGTGCTGGCGGCCGTGGTTTTAGCAGCTGCTGCTCGGACTTGGTCATGGCAATTTCGTCCGATTGTCGATTTGATGTCGGGGTTCAGACACTTGGAGGCCAGCAGGCAAGAGCTGTGCAGCTGAGGTCACGAGCTGCAACTACCTTCCTATCTACTTGGTATCCTGGTTGGAAGATGCCAAGCACTCAGCATGTGAGTGCCTTTCCTGTTCAGTTCTTGAACCAGAACGAGTTTTGACAAGAGGTTTCAAGACGAATAATCGATGAAGAATCAGATCACTGCACAGTGCGTGATCGATGAATTCCAGATTCTAGAAGGCTTGCATCCAGGTTGGGCTTCGGAAGCGAGTCTTCATGTTGGGAGCTTCAAGCTTCGGCAGCTTGCCGGGTCCTGCCGCTACCGGGAAGGTTTACCACCTCGCCCTGGCACCTTTGGACCCAGCCCGAGTGACTCTCATTCGAGCTGGGATCGATTCAGGTGATTTCAGGCAGAGAGCAGAGGATAACTCGAGACAGCGGCTTTTGGTCCCGGACTAGCAACAACATACTCAGCATACTTCAAAGGCGAAAGAGCCAGAATAAGCATCACACAGGCTGCGCGCACATACAAAAGCACTTTATGCATAATTGTTTGTATATAGATGCAGATGCATGTTTTGCGCACTCACATACATTTGTATATTGTATGTTTATGTATGAACACATGTACATTTGTATTTAGTTTTTGCGTACTGTATCGCAATGCAATGTCAAGCCATGTAATGCAGTGCAATGCAGTGATATTCAAGGTAAGGCAAGGCAATGTAGTGTAATGTACACTTGTGCTGTAAAGCCATGTAATGCAATGTTAGTAGTGTATGTAATTGTGTTTGTCTGTGTGTGTGGTATGTGGGCAGGGACATATTTCTGCAGGGAAGCCGGATTTTCACTGATGCACAAAACTACAGCTCCAACTGCAGAGAGCAGCCGGACAGACATTCAAGGCCGGGCTCCGTCCCTCCATGGCCCTGAGCATCGCGGCTGCGGCCAAGGCCAGCATCTTGAAGACTAAGAAGAAAGAATGATGATGTTGTTGGTTTTGTCAGCCGTGACGACAAGTATATAGGAGTTTTGTTTCAGGTGGAAGGTGCGACTGCAAGGTGCGTTGGTTCCTTAAAGGACAGGCAGGTTTGTGCTTGGGTTGGAAGTGGCTGCCTTTCCCGGAAATAGCGAAGAGCGAGCTTCGTGGGAAGCCTAGCTTCGGCGTCTTGTCGAGACTTTCGATCACCTTGGTAACGCAGTTGTTTCGATGCTTCTCACGTCTCGGGTTGCTTGCGAGGGGAGCTTAGTCTGGATGCTCTGCGTTCCTGTAGAAAACTGACACAGAGCTCTGAGGTGACGCAAGTCTTGAGCACCTTTCCGGTTTCCTTCGCCGCAGATCGTGTTGGGGCTGTATCAGCTTCTTGGCTTGCTTTACGGGAGCCAAGGAGGTTTATCAGAGCAAGCATTCGTGCAGGCTACAGTTTCCAAGTGAGATGAGAGACGCCCGAGCTGTTTGCACTGAAGGTTATGCTCTGCGGTGGTGCGGCCACCGGCATTGCAGCAGTGCCCTTTCTGCTGCTCCTTGACCATTCCACTCTCACATACCTCGGGCAGAACCACTGCTGTTGCCCAAGGTTTGTCGGCGAGACGTCTGCGTGGCATGGTACGGCCTTTGTCGTGCTGGGCCTGTTGCTACCAGCATCTTGGCCGGACGCGTTCTGTGGACATGTGCGAGGGGGGTGGGGAGACCTCATCACTCCTCAAGTTGGCATTTGTGGCTCTACGGACCTGCAAGCATGGGCCCTTGATACTTGCTCATGCTCTTCAAGATCTTCTAAGCTAGACTATGCTGCAAGCTTTCACTGCGTGGAAATCCTCAGACATGCTTGCCATGCTTCGTGCGGTGCTGGCATATCTCCTGGGACCTGGGGCGGTCGCCACTCCACTGGCCACCTACAAAGTTGAGGCCTGGGAGCGCAAGGACTTGGGTGCTTCTGAAGATAAGTAAAGCCTTCTTTGCCAAGCGAGTGCGGCAACCAAGCACGCTGTCTTTTTTGTGACCTGACTCTGCGCTCTCGTAGCGTATGGTCTTGCCACAGGCTCGCTTCCCCCACCGCGTCGATTGTTTCACAGAGGGCCTGGTGCTAAACGGCAGCGAGGCTCGGAGCGTGTCACAGAGCTGAAGCTCCGGGAGGGCCCCAGCCTGCATGTCGGACTGTCGGACACTTTGGCGAAGCATCATGTCAATGTTAGCATCCCTCCCGGCTCGAGCCGGAATTGGTCAGGTCTTGGAGTCATGCGGCCTGACCGGCAAATCCGTCCTGAGGCCAGCCCGTTCTTGCTGAGCTTGAAATCGCTTGGGTGCTTTTGTTGGCGGCCTTGAGGCGCTATGACCTTTCGAGTGGCCAGACCAAGAAGGAGGTGCCGGATACTACTTCGGTGGCTCGTTCTCACTGTCCTTCGCGATGTTGCGAGGTTCGCTTGGATGCGAAGTACTTTGGCGAGGGCACCGTCGAGCTTGGCACGTCGCTGTTGCTCGGCTTCCCATAGGTGAACTGCTGATTGGCTTGTTGCCCTGCAAAGTTGAGGTTCGTACTGACCTACCAGCACAAAGTCATGCTTGAGTACGACCGAGAGACACTCACGGTCACAAGAGTCCATCCTTTTCCCTACGGTGAGGGCTGGGGCCTCACCACTGACGGCTGCGATCTGCTTGCGACTACAGGTGCCCCGTACTTGTATCGGCTGCGACGTGCTGAAGATGGTGAGTTCAAGCTTGTCAACAAGGTGTTGGTCAAACAGGAAGGGAAAAGCCTCAGGATGCTCAACGAGGTCGAGTACATTACGCCAAAGCTCTGGGTGAACGAGTGGATCACCAACCGAATCTGGCGGGTTGATCCAGTCACCGGCGACTGTGAGAGATACATTGACATCAAAACACTTCATCCATGGCGCGGCCAGGCGACACCAAACGGTATCGCGTATTCTCCAGCCTTTGGAAAGGAGCTTCTGCTGGTCACCGGGAAGCTGTGGCCCAACATGTTCTCTTTGCGCATGAGCGCTTCAGACCTCTGCGGTGGTGTCCTTTCGTCAAAACCGGAATGCGTGCAAGCCCCCCCATCGGTGTGCCACGATGCCCAGGCGGTGGCCAACCCGGCACCTAGGCCAACCGTCGCGGCAACGACTTCGACCGCGAAGCCTACAGTGCCTGTGCTTTCACTTACCAGCCTCGCCCCCACTCCTACTGGCGTTCCGGAAGAGGGCTCTGCCCCAAAGGTAGGCCTCTTCAGCATGCCACCTGCCACCGTGTCCGGCCTTCCTTTCGGTTTCAGTACGGCATTGAGCCTTCTCGGGATGTGCATATTTGTAGTTGCCTTCGCTTCCAGTTTGCTGCTTCGCTACATGCGCCGGCGTCAGCGAGAAACGCTGCATCGCCAGGTGGAGTCTGAATCCGATGGAGGTTGAGAAAAGGCAGCAGAAGCAGTAGACTCAATAGAGCTTTGCATGCGTGCCGAGAAGGCAATGGAGCAGCTATAGCACCTTGAAGAGATGCTTGTAGGCGCGATTGCAGGCAATTCTCTTGTAGAGGATACCGTAGCGGCTTGAGTACACCTGGCCAGAAGGGCAGAGCAAGGTTGGGCACTGCAGGCTCGATGCTGGGATCTCAGCTCCTTTGTCCTAGGTCTTCATCAGCGTCTACCTGGTGCCATCGCCACTTGCCTCAACAGTTCCTGAAAGCTCGGAAATGGGCGCTACTGTAGCTCTCCGTGTTGGAGGCCGCTCTTCATGACCTCTCTTTTCCCGACGCAGCAGCGGGGCCGCGGCGCTGGGCTCTGCGCCTTGGAGACAAGCAAGTACATCAATACTCGTGTGGTACTCTCGGGTAGGTGGTGGTGGGTGCTGGTCGCAGCTTCTGACTGCTCTCTCGAGTTGCATTCTGTTGTAGGCCTTGGTCTCGCCTCCGTGGTGGGTGGCCTCATGCCCGCTGCGGTGCGGACGGGGAGTTTTTGGGACATTGCTTGCTGTGCGGCAGCGTCGTCCTGTCACGCTATGAAGGCCTCTGCTCTTGCGAAGTACGGCTACCTCTGGCCAGGCCAGGCATGTGACCAGGGTACGTCAGGGTCCGTTTCGTCCAATTTACTTGGATCGTCGGATTGCGAGGTGCCCTCATATCCCTTCTGATACTGCCATCGTTGCTGCTCCTGGCCTGCGCGAAGCGCGCGGCTGCACGCGGGCATCTCGCGGTTTTCCAGCGGGCCTGGCTGTTCTAAGTCAGCCACCATGAGCTCCGCGCTTGTTCCGCGACTTGAAATTCAGGAGCAGGTCACAAGCACCTGCATTGGCATGCTCTTTGGTGGAAAGGTTTGCTTTCCCCGGCAGGCCCGCTGTAAGCATGGCGGCTACCTCGCAGTTTGCCTATCGCATCGTAGGCCTCCGATAACTGGCCCGGCTAATTCGGGCGTGCTTGTCGTGGCATTTGTACAGTTCCTTGTCTCAGTGTCTCGCTCGTCGACTCAGGCAGGCAGCTTTGAAGCCTGCCACTGAGGCTCGGAAAGCCTGGCATCTGTCCCGATCACGCCTTATCTGCTTCAAAAAGTGAGCGTACCTTTCGCCCATGGTGTTCAGCAAGCCAGCAAGCAATTCCCTGTTAAAATGTCCTAGACGTTCTCTATCCGCGGAGGCGCAGTACGGTCTTGCCGCACCGGCTGTGCGGGCTACCAGCGCGCAGGACACGCGGGGTTGTAAACGGAGAGCAGAGCCGTCCACAGAGCCGGAAGCATGTGGGCATTTTGTGCTTTTCGAGATAAATTATATGTACGGCCAAGTAGACAGCGTCATCGCTCTTACCTTTCGATGCCAGACCGCAGCGGATGCGTTCCTGGACCTTCGACAAATCCTCCAAGAGGCAGCTGCCTTCCCGACGGCATTTCAGATCCTAAGCTGTGTTTTTGAGCTTCCTTGTGAACCCTTGAAGCCCTTAAACGGTTGAACATGTGTGCAGAAACGAAGAGACATGTGCAGAGACCCCTTACCTGGCACTGCCAGAGGTTGGCGGTGGTTCGTCAGAGGACGGAGCAACCGAGGCGCCTAAAATGGCATGTGTAGTGGATGTGGTCTTCATTTTCAGCTTAACCTGCACACGAGTCCGTTTGTGTCATATTCTTGGACGGAAGGCACACTTGGTTCTCGTCGCGCATCCACATCAATTGCCCTACCTGGCATTGTGACGGCCTCGGGCGTTTTGCTCCCGTTCCACTGCTCCATGCGTGCAGGGCAAGTCGCAAACAGAGCTTTGCAAGGCATGACAGGTGAGGACGGTATGCTTGTACTTGGAATCTGAAGATGGTCTGCCTTGTTGCTGAAAAGCTTTTCGACTAGTTGGTCTGCGATGCTTCTTTGTTTCACTCATTATGTTGTGGTTGTCTGTCATGGTTCCTGCTGCTGCCAGTGCTGTTCCCGGTGCTGTTGCTGTTGGTGTTGCTTTTGCTGTTGCTGGCGGTGTTGTTGTTGGTGCTGTTGCAGTTGCAGTTGCTGTCGCTGCTGCTACTGCTGCTGCTACTGCTGGTGCTGCAGCTGCACTTTGACAACCTCACACTGCACAGCGAGTCTCTCTCCAAGGATTGCCGTGGCTTCGGGCTTTCGCAGGGTGGCTTTGCTCGACCCGCAGTGCCCTGGAAAGAAGCGAGCTTGGCTTCGGAATGAGGAGGGTAGAAAGTGGAAATGCTTGGAATGGTAGGTCTCAAGGACAGTGGCCATTAGAAGCCCTAGCCGCAGCCGTCGCCGCCCCTACTGGCAGCTTTGGGTTTGCCAAGGCTCTTCGAGGCTGTGCCTTGGCGGACCTTCGGTGCTCTTCTCAGCCGGTCCGGTTCTTCTGGTTCTCTCACTCGGAGCCAGAGCCTCCAGGTTGCAACCAGCTCGGATACAGTGGCGCCGCAGCAACGGTCGCTTTGGACCAGGAGGCGGGACGGAGGACGGACTGTCTCCAGAGTCTGTGGCTCCCAGCCGCAGCTAGCCAAGCTTGAGCGCTCAAACCCGGACCGGCAGCTTGAGAGGCCCACCGCTTTGAGTCCTATGCTGGCCAGTCAGCCCGGCTTTAGAAGAGCTGGCTGCCCGAGTTCCAAGATTTCCGAGTGCTCAGCGTTACTCGAAGAGACTGGGCGCTCGCGCCAGGTTGAAGGAGACGGAGCCGGAGAGGCTATGCCGCTGCATTAGCCGCTGGCTACACACGTCAGGAGTATGCTGATGGTCAATGGCATTGTTCATGCATTGGTCCGCCGTGATGTAACCTCGGAACTGTCTTCCGTTAGGCGGTGTCTGCACTGTGTTGATGATACGGCACGGTGGTGCTCAAGCAGTTTTCCAGCATTTACTTTGCTGCTCCACTACACCTCTCCTACGGACATGAAACATGCTTTTCCGCGAGGGGAAATCGTGGGGATATCATGGGGCTACCATGCAAAACTGCCAGGATAGTGTGGTTTGTCAGCAAGAGTTCCGGCTGTTGACCTTGCACAATAACCAAGATAATAACATCAACATCCAACACGAATTCAGACGCTTAACTGCATGGCACGGCATGCCTGCTGATGGCTGATGGCTGCCGGTGAGGACGTGACTGAGAAATAGACTTGTTTCGCGTGCGCGCTGGTCTGACCCAGCCACAAACACAGAATCTTGGGAGGCCGTTCTGAGCGAGCTGCTCGCGGTGCTTCGCGTTGCCACAGCTTCCGTGGCTTCTCGGACAGATTCTGTGCATTTCTGTGCTTTCTTGGGATGGAGCATGAGGGAGTACCTCCGACAGATCGGGGGTTGATTATAGCTGGGGTTCTGCTGCTCAGCTGCTGAATTTCTGCAGGCTACCGGAGTGCTCTCCTTCGTGGCTCGTGGCTGAGCACGTCGAAGACACTGACATGCACACACCTGTGCTTCCTTCGACTATCTTTGGATGGTGCTCGGAGACAGGTCCCTTGGCAGATCACTCGGGCCGTGTCTATACACTTGGGCCCAGAGGCGCCAGTGCGACGGAGTGTCTCAGATTCTCGGTGACCGCGTCTTGGCGGCCTCTCCAGGCCTTGGCTGCCTATGCCCTCGGCCAGCTGACCGGGAAGCTCGGCCATGTTGAGCACAAGAACTTGCAGAAGCCCAGGGTCGACCGCAAAGGCCAGCGACGCTGTACTAGTACAGCTGGAATGATCCCTTTCTGCAGATGTTCCATCCAATCACTCCGGGAAGGGCGGGTGTGTGGTGGATACCTCGAAAAGACGTTTTCAGTCGAGTCCTTCACATTACTGACGAAACGTCCTTATTTGGCTGCATGACCAGTGAAGCAGATAGCAAACAGCTGTACCGCGGCGACCTCCCCAGCGTAGGCTTTGCCTGCACGGGTTGCTCTGTTGTTCCGCGGTTTTGCCGTATCAGTCGAATTCTGCGGACGTGACCATGAGGAACCTGACCGGGCGCAGCATCGTGAATGGCATCTTGGCCTGCGAGATTGAAAGCCACTATCAGCCTGCAAGCTCCGAACCCCTAAACATCCCGGAATGAGGCTTGCTCTTGGCCTTCGACACCTTGGGGGCCCAAGCCTTCGGCCGCGGTGATTTCCGTGACACGGCCCGACTTCTGCAGGAGAGCGAGAGCGAGCGCAGTGACGTAACCAGCTGATGTTGCAACCCGCATGCCCTGGACTTTCCAGCAGAGGCTGCGTCTAGGCTGTTCCATTTCGAGACCATGGTACTAAGACTGTAGGAAGAGAATCTACCCAGGTGAGGTTGGTGTGCTAATGCTACGCACAGCTCCTCGGCGGAAGACTTCACCGTACAGAAAGGCTCGAGGCAACAGGCTTGAGGCTTCTGGCAACAAAGGTGCTTCTCGCCGTGTGCCTCCTCACACCGGTCGGGCTCCCGAGCTCGCCAGCTTCTAGGATTCTGTAACGACAAGGCACAAACATGTGCTGTGAACAGCGCAGCAGCGAGAGCAGGCTTCGTTTGGCTTTCGCCTTTACCCAGGTGGCCTTGTCCTGGTCCTGGGCCGAGCAGTGCTTCCTCGTGCTCGGTCAGGCGCGGGATTATCTGGGGTTAGATGAGTGGAAAGCGTCTTCGAAATGGCGTAGGTTGTACACTTTGAAGGATATGGCAGCTCCGGCATTCCTGTGCGAATCATCGAATGCCCATCGTTTCCAGGGGCCAGACTCAACAGATTGTCTCATGCTGTCAGGAAGCACTCTACAAGACCCCAGCACACTCCATGAGACACTCCCTTACCCGCTGTACAGCACTCGAGTCTGTGCCGACCCAGTGTCAGGAAGCACTCTGTAAATAATTCCACTTTACGGTATGATATATAAGAATCATGCAGATGCAAAGGACAAGCCAGCGTGCTAGACTCCACGCGTGAGTCAGGATGTTTTTTAACAAGGAAATCCTCGCAACAGTGGAGATGATATTTTCATGGAAATCGATGAGGTCCATTGCCAAGACGAGGCTGACTAGGCAAGCTGCTTGTGAAAGCATGTGGGTTTCGGATGGCAGCTACAGGAGCCGTTTGTGGCATCCTACGCGGCGCGGTACCTGCAGAAGCTTGTCTGAACTAGGGGCTGTAGGCCGCATTGAGCTGATGCTTGCCTATGTGTAAACCCCCGATGTTTTGGAGTAGGTTAAAGAGCTTGTGCCCTTGGATGCCTTGCGCAGGATCTTCCGCTTCAGCATAATTCCCTTGGCACTGTTTGAGGCGCCTTGGCGGTGAGGTCAGAGTTTTCATTTCTGCACTTGTAAGCCTGGGCCAGGTGTCTCGGCGTTTTGCATTGAGTCAGGCGCCGCTGGTCCTTGTCCGTGACGTTGTCTTGCTCGTCTTTGAAGAGCCCTGGCAGGGCGTCGCCTGGCCTTTCACGGCTGCGACATTGGCTTCCAACGCCTTCGTGGCCTTCGCAGCAACACCGATGCTGCGCTGCTCGGCGGCTTCGGCTTCGGCGTAAGCTTCCGAAGAGTGCGGCCTTCCACAGAGAAGGCCTCTGGGGCTTCGACGGCAGCGCCTTGCTCAACCTGGCGGCGGTCAGCGTTCAGGCTGTCACAGGCAACTCAGGGGGATGCGATTTGGAGCGTGTCGGGCTCCATCTGATTGCTTTGCACCGAGGCTTGGCATACATGGCCATCCGCAAGCCTGGAGAAGCAACCCAGGCCGATGTTGGTGAGTCCTCGCAGGGAGCGGCAAGCCCTGACCCAAGCAAGCTCGAATTGATGAGTATCAGATCCCCCTGATAGAATACCTTATGGTCCCTTCACTCGAGAACATGCGCCGAAGCCTTGATCTTGTTAAAACACCGGCTCAGGGCTGAGAACGAAAGCTTTTCATAGTGGCGCAGTAGCTCCTAGAGTCTTAGGGATCCGAGCACGGTAGCCCGATTCGAGTCCTCTAGTCCCGTCGCTTTGTAGTGGTAGCCTCCGCCTTTTTTCCAGGCCTTTCCCGGGCTTTTTCGGGGACTCGGCGAGGCGGCTGCCAAAGCCGCCAGGGCTGCAGAAAGGGAGTCCCAAACACACACTTTTGGCTTCAGGGTATGTTCTCTGCAGGTTCTAGAGACAAAAAAGGGGATTGCTGGAATCGTCTCAGCCTCCGTATAATAGGAATGGCTTGGGTTCCCGTGCTGAATAGTTGTGATACTGTAACGCTTGAGAGTGCAATCAAACGTCGATGAACACCTCGTGACCTATCGGAACTTGCCAGACCTACTGCTCGTACTCATGTTGGCACGAATCGTTGGGGTATGTAGCCGAACCTTGCAAAAACCTGTGCCGAAGACAGGCCATCAGAACACATCTACATGTGAGGCCAGTTTACATCGTAAGTCCGTTCTGTGACGCATCCCGAGCGAAGCTTTAAGGATGGGCTCTGCCAGTTCCTGAAGCTTGCGGTGCCTGGAGTTCTCTCCATGACCGATGCTTGTGAGGGTCGATCTAGTGCCTTGCCGATGCTAGGAAGGCCAGGGCAAGCCACGGAAGCATGGAGTTAATAACAAAGGAGAGCCAATGCCGAGCCGCAGCAAGACACGCTTCCACGCCTTGCTCTGCCATCTCTGTGCAGACGTAAAGACACTTGCCGAATTGAAGCCAAGCGAAAGCCCCGGCAAGGAACGGGCAGACCTGCACACTCAATCTCAGGCAACGTAAACTTGTTGTATTGTGGTTATCACGACCCTTCTTTGTCTTCAGAGCATCAGCTAAACCGACAGTCTCGGCTCTGCGCCGACTCGGAAGTGATCACCAAACGATGCAGCATCGAGCATAGCGACTGAATGTTTGTTGCTTCGGAGTCTGCGACCACCTCGAGATACTGGCATGGTGGGAACGTGCAGACAGTTGTGAAGTCTGCATGGGAAACGGGAAGGAACAGCAAGACCCCACTCTTGAAGGACGGAATGGTGGTTTTGGGAAGTCACCTGCTTCCGTGCCGGAGTCTTCGGTGCATCCTCCCTGGCAGCGCACACGGCCGGCCGCCTCAGATTTATGGGCAAAATGAACTACTTGACGGTCAAGACCGAAGGTGGTCTACATGGCTGTGCCGCTCCTATTTCAGGTGCCACGAGGAGCGGACCCCGGTTTTTTGCGGCTCGGGCTTCAGTGTCTTCTGTTCTTTTGCGTGGAGGTGTTTCGATGGGCTATGCTGCCCGCGCCGGAGCACTCCTGGGTGAAGGCCGCGGCAGGGCCGCCAAGAAGGCACAGCATCGCGGTGTTCTGTTCCCACTGTGGCACATCATCTGAAGCTTCATGGCTTCATCGCTCAGCCGGAGGTGGCCTTCATAGGCCTTGCCATGGGGGTGATGCTCGTCCTCGTGGATGCGATGCTAATGTGGGTGACTTGCCTGCGCTGCTCTTCTCACACAGATGTGATTAGGACTCCCGGCTCAGTCCTCACCGCAAAGTGCTACGTAGTTTTGCGTGATCTGATGTACCAGCCAGCAGAGGTGGCACAAGAGGAGTACATCGCGCAGATGGCAGGCCAAATGTTTCAAAGGGCTGATACATCCTCAGTGTTGTGCGTGCATGAGTGTGTGTGTGTGTGTGTGATGCAGGCTCCTCGAAGGATTTGACAGACACCTGTCGCAAGATTTGGCCGTTTGTCATCTTCTTCCTCATTGTGGATGGGCTATTTCCCTTGAACCAAGGACCCTATGCAAGATTTCCTTCAGCCAATGTGTTGTTCTATGCCTAGATTTAAAGCATGTCCCTGCATTAGTCTGTCTGAGCACGCGAGTATTTGACAAAGCCTTGGTGACAGGAATATGCAACATCCATTCGCATCAGGGTCGAGTTTCCGTCTCAATGATTCTCAGCCTTTGGATCGTGGGTGTGTCCCTTGGCCTGACTGGTGGGCTTGATCACTAAGATGTGGGATACAGGAGTCAGCTGCAGCTTGCCCATACTTTATGCTAGCAGCTACTAATGCGACATTTTGCATGCGCCTAAGCCGTCGTTGCTTCTTTTGCGAGGCCAGTCACTCTCTCCAGTGCCGACCTGCTCAGTCTTTGGAAGATCTTCCCCCTCTGCGCCTCGGTGGATCATTCCTGGTAAAATCCTGAAAACAAGCCTTCGAAGGAATTACTGCGGCTAGCCTGGCTCGAGGCTACATCCTCCTGAATGCCCTGTTGATTTTGTCCTTTGCCTTCTCCGACTGGGACTTGGCCGTCCAGCACTCAGGGCTGCAGGGCTCCGACTCAATCCAGAGAGTGTGCAGAGTGTGCCAGGCTCAGCGTGCGTCGCACAAGGAGTGCTCCCCAGCGTGTTCTGCAATTCGCTTGTTACCAAGTGCAAGAGCAAGCCGCGCTATGGCGTTCCCCGCAGTTCGTCATTTCCAAATGATGTGGGAAGGTTCTTGTGAGAATTGTCCCCGGTGGTTCGGCGGGGAGATACGTATTGCATTGCCATAGTGGTGCCAATTCCGGCTGCAACGACAAGACTCACCAAAGTCACAGATCACAAATCTGCCTTATCTTTCGTTTGTGCTTTGCTTCTCGATGCGCTCCTTGTGTGGCTTTGCTGCAGGTGATGCCGTGCTCAACGAAGAAGTCTGTCTGTATTGTGCTTCCGCAATCCACTAAACCCATTTTCAACTTTGAAGGCATGAAACCCTGCAAAGGCGGAGGATCTCACAAACGCAGCGAACAATTGAGTGCAGAAGCCGCGATGATGCTGAGAAGCAGCGCAGCAACTGTCTACGGGTTCATCCTAGACCTGGCACATGCACCGAATGAACGTGAGCTGGTGCCATATTGGTCGGTACAGAGGGCGCACGACTTCGCACTTGCGTGAAGGACGAAATCGTTGGTGATGCAGACATGGAGAAAGCCAGCAATACACGGCTTGGCCCTGAAGTTATTGTCAGCTGCAGGGTGAATCCTGAACTTTTGCGGCCTCTAGTGGAGGCAAAGTAGGCACCATCGGCCAGAATAGGAGCGGCTTGGTGCTCGACGAGTCAATGTGTGATCTTCCCAGGTTCGACTCGCCGAACTCAAAGAATCTACAGCCGCAAGCTCCGCCTTCAGATGTTTCTGCGTTTCAGCTTAAACTCCAAGAAAGCTTGTGGATGCTGGATCTGTTGAGGTCATAGGCGCCGAGGATGTGGTGAGCAACAGCTGAGCTGACGGTCATCTGTTAGTGTAGTGGCCCGGGCTGAAGTCAAGTTTCTGAACGAAGTCTAAAGTGTGACGTCTGCCTGCAACTCTGCCTCAGCCTAGGCTTCTGAGAAGCTGCCTGAAAAAAGACATGTAGTGGCCGCATGCGATCTTGCCGAATCGTGAGCGACACTTGGGAGTGCTTTGTCTTGCCCACGATCTTCTTCTGCCATCTTCTCCACAAGTTCTGGTTGTTTGCAAGTCCTTGCGGGCGGCAGGCTGCAACGATTACAGCCACTCATCGAAGCCGTCAACGCGACCCTCGACTTCCACCGCTGCGTGGCGCGGCAGGCCTGGGTCCAAAGAGTGCCACCGTGGCCGTGGCCCTCCTGCCGCACAGCATTGCACAGCATTGCAGAAGCGTTGCACGGCGTTGCACAGCAGAGTGCAGGCAGTGCTGCCTGGTGCAGTGACAACCTGCGCACAGAAGCCGTAGCGCTCAGCTTATGGCGAAGTCTCAGGGTCCGAACCTGGTCCAAAGCGGGCCTTGCGGAAGCGATTCCGAGAAAATGAGGCTGTGAAAGGGGCAGGGGCAGACGAAGGGTCTCCCGGAAGTCGCATGTCGCCTCCAAAATTCGACCTTCCCGGGCAGGGCTGAGGAATCGGGCTCACGAAGACACCAACTCTGACCCAACAACACTGCTGAGCTAGAACTACATGTCCACGGCTTAGGCAGCTATCTCGGGATGCTTCCAGCATGCAGACAAGTCTCATGCAGTCTCCTTCGCTGCCTGTCTCCTGTTTGTGTTCAAGCCGCCGCCAAAGCCGCGCGCGGAGCCATGGAGCATAGCTTTGATGTCGTGAACCACTCTTTAAGTGTGCAGGGCGCTCATAGGAGCCGGAGACCCAGTTCTCGTTCAATCAGATGGTTCAGGTTTCTTCAGCAGCAAAGAACCGCACAAAGCAGAACCTTTGGGTTTCCAGGTTTCCGTCATGCAGCCATTCGAGTATGCCATGTATCCATCATTGCCATGGCACTGGTAGGCCTGCCAGCCGAGGAGGGCCCAGTGAAGGGTAAGCGGCCCGAACATCGCTTGCTTTTGTGAGGAGCACGTGGGAAGAACTTACCGCTTTGAGCTTCTCAGAAACAGGCTGGGCTAAGTGACTATTCGTGACTGATGTGCCTCCTTGATATGTTCTGCTCTCCTGCAGCCTGACAGTAGCCTGGAGCATGCTGGCACCTTGGAGGACAGCTGCCCAATCTCGCCATTCCAAGCGAATGCCAGTTGCATCACTCTCGCGCACTGCTTAGATCGGTGCAGGACCGCCTGAGGCACCGCGAGCGCTGCTTCGGCACCCTCCGAGCATCCTGGCAGGTGAAGTCGCTCGTCTCAGCAATCTAAAGCCAACTATTGAGCGTGTGGAAGTTGCGTTTTTGCATTTTGACGGAACGACCTCAGCAACCCAGGAACAGCTTCAGTGCATGGCGGTCACTTGTTGAGACACAGAATGAAGCGTTTCGAGCGCACCCTTGCAGCACAAGCATCTTTCTGGCTCTTCTCGCGATCGGTTTCATGTTCGGCTCTTTCAGCAGTTCAACAAGCTAGCAGACGGGTTAGGGGAAATCACCATCGCCCTTAATTTGTCGGGCTGGTGTCGTGCAAAGATGCATGTCCGTCTCCAAACACCTGCAGGCAGGAGGACCAGGACGCCCAGTTGAGGGCAATCTTCGATTTGCAAGAGCTGCTTGCACAGAAGGACGCAGTCGCTTTCTGAAGCTTCAGCTGTAAAGTCATGTCTCAACCTGCAGACTCTGTCACTGCTATGGCTTGAGGCAGATTTTTGGCCGGCAAGCTTCTTCTGCTCGTTTGCGTGTGAGGAGTTGGAAAATCGACAGCTTTCCCTGATGCTGGTAACCAGCGAAAGAAAGCGGTCTCTTGTTTGCGATGGTCTGTAGCAGCCGGTGCTGTGAGCATCCTCCTGCAACAGAAGGTCGACCCTGGCACACAGCGTGCATGTCATCCAGACGGGCGCTTCGGATCTCGTGATTTGCATACGGGTGCTGGAAGCCCAGGCAGAAAGCAAGTCGCAACACCCCTCCCAGTCTCTCTTTTTGCGTGGCACTTATTTTGAGGTTTGCTGCCTGGCGGCGCCTCAGCGTGGAAGGTCGTCTGACGGGCACACTGCTCCGCATCGAGGCACTGTGCATCGTGCCGAAGAACAGATACAGAGTATGTTTAGATATGTAGGTTTCAGCGCGTCTATGTGCAAGCCATGTTTAGTCACATGTGTGTATGTCGTCGTATGTTCATATGCCTCAGATGAGCATACTTAGGCAAATCAATTTTTTACAACCACGTGTACGCGCTCCTGGAGTGCGCATAGATACATGCGTGCGTATGGTATATAATATGCATATGCAATCGGCAACCGCAGAGATAGGCACAAAATGAAGATAAATGTTTGGTTAGTTGTTTAAATAGATAGATAGATACATAGAGGAACAGAGAGACAGAGATAGACATACATGTATGCGAATAGCTAAATGGACAGATCAAGTTGTCGTGTCAAACTGTGAGTGACATGACGGCCTGATGCGAGACAACTGGCATGATCACCAAGTGTGACAATCACGGACTGTTGTGTGCAATCTGCTCGGCTTTAGGGTACTGTACCATAGCACTGCTGGCGGTTTGGTTAAAGATCGTGCATCTCGCTCGGTAGCTCGAGGGTGACTAGAGCTCCAGCACATTTCTTGATTTTGTCAGGCTTGTCTTCATCATCCTACGCCTCTGTGGACACGTATCGGCCAGTAGCTCCAGGCAGTTCAGAGCCGCGCGCACGACTTCCGGACCTTCTCCTGCCTGGAGCAAGAAAGTGCAGACTTGCTTGGTAAGCTTGATTCCCGGTTGCAGATTCGCAGGTGCGAGACTACTGGGACCAACAAGACATACCTCCCCTCCACATGCAAACAGAATCAGCACATGGCGAGCACTCACATAGAGATGGAATTGTAGCATGCATGAGCCCTCGCGCTTGGAGGTCCACCGTTCAAGCCGCATCAAGCCACGGCTCTTGTTTGCAGGAGGAACTGGAGCAAATGTGTCTGTTGATTTGCCTCTGCAGCTCTGAATCTTAGCCGGGACATGCCATTTAGCGGGTGGCCTTCGGTGGTGAGTATTGTCACAATGCCGGGCGGACATCAGAATCACGCAGCAGTCAGTGTTATCCAGAATGCATCAGCCCGATCTGGACGCAAGCAACCCTAGGTTCATGCCCAAAAAGGCTCAGCGGTATGACGAGAGGCTGTCCCTTGAGGTTTCAAGCTATTGCAAGCTGATGTATGTGCAGTTTCGGCAAGAAGCGCTTTGCCCCTTCTGCGCTCGTCCTCCAAGCCGCCGCCAAAGTTGCGTGCGGAGCTTTCTTAGCTGAGCTTAGGCCGACAAGATGAATCTAGACGATCTTTCATGGCGCGTGTTTGTGGAGGAAGTGAACCATGCTCTATTTTTCCACTTCTTGAAGACGGTTGCAACATCCCTTCAACGTCTTCTAGTAGTGCCCAAAGAGGCATTGTGATTGTGACAAAGCCACATGCATGTGCCTCAGTTTGTAGTTCTCTCTTTAGGCTGACCTCCCCCTTTCTCGTCAGCCTCAAGCCAAAGCAATTTTTTTCACGGATTCCCATGCGGTAGACTATGCTGCGCATGCCTCATTGCCATGGCACTGCTAGGCTTACCAGTCGAGGCAGTGACCGTGTTCTTGTCTGCATATTCAGAGAACTGCTAGAGCACCTTGAGCCCGATCGGAGCGCAGGACGTAGGCTGAACGGTTTGCCTTTGCCGTTTATGGATTTAGCAGAATGCGCCTTTTGTCCTCCTCCCGCAGACCCACTTTCGGCCACAAAGCCACCAGCCACGCAGGCCACGTGTTGAACTTGCGAAGCCATGATGTTCGGCAGCTGGATCACAGTTTGCTTCTGCCTGGGGATCTACCAGCAGGTTTCAGCAGGTGGGAACTCATCGCTGAAGTATCGCAAGGCCGAAGTTAACAGGAGCAACGGCTCTGAACCAGTGCAAGGGGCTGACAGCAGCAACTCAAGTGCATCCGCTCATTCTCGTGGCGGAGGCAGTGGGCTAACTGAGTTCAGCCTCAAGAGTCGCTACCAGAAGTTGACCAACCCCGGTGATGCCTACGACAATTGGTTTTGCGAAACGAATGTGAACTACTTGGGCGAAGATTCCTGTGCAGGAACATGTCCTAAGAGAAACATCTGGAGCGTTGAGGCTTGCCAGCGCCTGTGTGTCCCATGGTATGGATGCACCGTTGCCGTCCACAACAACCGCGGCGAGTGCTGGTTAAAGACCAACTTCCGCCGCCGCGTTGCAAGTAATCCCAGCTGGGCCACGACGAGCTGCACGCCTCCAATGTGGCATGTAGAGCTGGAGGTTAACTTGAAGCTTTCCCAATGGCAGATGCACGACTGGTGCCTTGGAGGCTTTGTAGTTCCAGGTGTTTTTGATTTTTACGGCATTATGTTCGGCAAGTTCAACTCTTGATATGTTGGGAACTTTAGGTCCCGTGTCCATACACACCACTACAACCAGAACGACCGCTTGGGTCCAGCCAGTCCCGAGTTCGCGAACACCTACTCCTTCATGCAATGGCGCGAGAACAAATTCTTCGTGCGCCAGGCCGACGGCGAGGGAGCAGGAAAGTGGCTCCACCTCCACGGGGACGGTTTCCTAGGACCTGCCAGTCCATGGTGGGCAGCTGCCATCGCACTCCATCCAACGACTTCCGCTATTGACCAACAGTTGTGGGACCAGGATCATTTCTTGAATATCCTCCGCTACTATCCTTCAGGAGAAGCGGGGATCAAGCTTGATGTCCTACGGGAGCGATCCAAGCAGCATGGCTATGGCTATCTGGGTCACTATTCTGACCGCATTTGTGCCGACAATTCGCGTTTTCGGTGCCGGCACGGGTTGGAATTTCAATTTAATACCATTGCATGGTTGTATCCTGATGAACCTTGACTGCTTGTCAGTCGGGATGATGTCAGGCTTGTGCAGACAGGCTGCGCGAGTATGCTAACACACCTGGCACCGAGGTGCAACTTTTCAGGTAGATCCAAGGCATTTGCCGTTGTTGCCTCGAATGCATGTCATGTGTGGTACAGCTACAGTACAGTTGCATGGGCACCGTGGACATAGATGTTTACGGGGTCCACACTCTCAGTGTCCTCGTTCTGTTTCGCATGCAAGGCAAGCATGGGTTTCAAGGATTTGCAAAAAAAGGCAAATGCAAGAATCGCCATCACAATGGATCCCACCTCACTGCAAATGTGATGTTTGCAGCAGAGCGACACGTTAACTCGTAAAGCCAGGAGGTTTCCAGCCACATTGATCTTTTGGCGGTTTAGCGTTGAAAGTTGACTGTGAACGAAGCAGTCCTATTGCAGTGAGTATTTTGAGGTTCTGTTGCGTTCGAATGTCTTTCAAGTTATCACACAGCTTTGAGGCCCTGGAAATAAATAAATCTGTGCGTAAACGAATACATGCATATGTTGATTTTTAGCGGTTTAGCGTTGAAAGTTGACTGTGAACGAAGCCGTCCTATTACAGTGAGCATTTTGAGGTTCTGTTGTTTTCGAAGGTCTTTCAAGTTATCACACAGCTTTGAGGCCGTAGAAATACATAGATAAAAATATGAGTAAACGAATAAACTTCTATGTCGATGTGTATATATAAATACATATGTTCATTCCCCACAATATATATATATATATATATGCATATGTACATACACAAGCATATATGTCGTATATACCTAGATAAATAAAAACCAAACCATGATGCATACATATGTGTATATGTTTGCTTTTTGGTTTTTCGTTTCTCGACTTATTTATCCAAAAAATCATTTGTACATTGAGTTCGTTGTTTCTCTTCTATTTACTACGTTTTGTAGTTTGTATTTATATACGGCTTTCAAGTACTTGTGTATTTCTCTCTCTCTCTCTCTCTATCTATATATATATATGCAAATAGAAAATGCACACGGACATGTAAATGGAATACGGGTATGCATATGAATATACAAGATAATCGCATACGTGTATACATGTATATATGTATATAGATCGGAATATGGTTGTTTGTCGCACCCTATTGGTCGAACATCTTCCAGCTCTCGATTCTCGACCCGCTGCTCGTGTGGGTTGCATCCCTTACCATGGGCGGGCTGATATGTTCAAAAGCATGCAGCATCAATTCCGCAAGCCAGACCGAACAGGGTACAGCGCGATGCCAGCACTGTCTTGGACACTGTTGTGGCCGGGTCCCGTCCGTGTTTGTAGCGGACCCTGCTTGGATGTGCTTGGAATCAGAGCAACTCGAGTTTACGACGACCCTGGGAACGTCCGTGCTGCTGGAACCAAGCCCGAAAGCCCCGAATGGAGCCCGAGGTACGTGGTCGTAAGATGGGTGAACCTTGGGATCATCTAGGGAGCCCACCGGGGCCCGCGGCCGCGGGCTGTGCAGGAGCGCTCGCCTCGTCGCTTCGAGCTCCGAAGCAGGCCTGGGAAGTGGGAACGTGAGAACTCTCCGGCCGCACCTCGCACCATCTCACGCCATCTGATGCCAGCTCACACCTCGCACGCATGTTTGAAGCTTGTTCTGAGCCGATGCAATCACCTGAAGCTTTGCACCAGGTCATTCTCCACACCGAGCTTTTCGCAAAAGGTTTCACGAGGCCAGAAGCCGGCAGGCCAGAAGCCAGCACTCGACCGTTGAGGATCAGCTCTAGCACGAAGTGGCTGCTTCAGACTCTATCTGCATTCTTCGCGGGAGATTGGCCACAAGCTGGCAGGTTCCGCATGGGCGATAGGTGCTCGCCTCGAGATGCTGTCGTTGCTGGATTGGCTCAGCCATGACGAGAGCCTCAGGAGAACCCGTGGCACTGCCACGTGCCACAGGGGCGCCGCGTATCCCGGGCCCGCGAGTGGCACGCACGCTCGCCCCGGAGGCCCCAGCAGCCCGTCCAACCCCAACCCCAGTCGCCCGCAACTTGGAGGACTGCTGCTGGCATCTGCGTTCCCATTACGGGAATTGCATCATCACTCTTGTGACTTGTGTAGCGTTCAGATTGGCACAGGACCGGCTGAGGCACCGCGAGCGCTGCTTCGGCACCCTCCGAGCATCATGGCGAGTGAAGTGGCTTGTCTGAGAACGGCAAGCTGCTATGTGCACGCGTGTTGACATGGCTTCTCCTCCGCAACCCAGGAACTTCTTTAGTGCATGGCGGTCGCTCGTTCAGATGCAGAACGAAGCCCTTCGAGCGCGCCTTTGCAGAGAACGGATGACATTTTCAGGGATGTCTACGTCTTGCCTTCCTGTGGTGCATGGGGTTTTGACATGGGTAACCGAAAGTTGGCTTCTTCCCGGTTCGAAGGGCGCCCCGGCCCCCTTGTTCGGAGGGTTTTGGAGGGTTGAATCGGGAGAGCAGGCCGGTACCCAAGTCGGAAAAGTAGATTTAGGAGTTTTAGGCCGCTGTTGTGCAGTGCGCCGCTTGACGACGTCTCGAGGCAGCAGGACCACGAAGCCCAGCTACGTGCAATCCTCGAGTTGCGAGAACTTCTTGCCCAGAAGGAGCGCTTTTCAGCTGGAGCCGGTAAGCATGCAGCACTTTGTGCTTTGTGCTCTAACTGTGTTTCCGTTCCCGAGGAGTTGGAAGTGCGACAGTTGTCTTTGCTGCTGGCAACCAGCCGAAGAAAACGGTGCCTCCTTCGAGACTCATTGAACAGTGTTCGCATGCTGCTGTGCCCCCCCTGCAACAGAAGGTCGACCCTGGAGCACGGCATTCACATTCTCCAGACCGGCGCTTCGGATCTCGTGATTTGCCTGCGGGTGCCGGAAACTCAGACAGAAAGCGAGTCCAGACGCGTAGTACACTCCCAGTCAGCTCACCTTCATGGTTTTAGAGAAGCATCACTTTATCCAGTTTACTAATGTCACACAGTACTTTATAGACACACTGTTCTTAACTTAGTATATCTGAAGTTGTAAGAAGTCCTAGTATCTCAAGGTTGGGTGCTTGGCGGCGCCTCAGCCTGGAAGGCCGCCTCACCGGCGCGCTGCGGCGTGTAGAGGCAACCGTGTTTCGGAGATCCGGGTGGGGAAAGCAACATGCATGAAAAGCTGACAGCAAATCCATGCCTTCGAGCGTGTATGTATATGCCTATGTGTATGTCGTGTATGTGTGTGGGTATGTAATATTATTTATGGGCTGCCGCCACTGCCGCCGACCCCAAAAGAAGAGAGGTGACTATCCAAGGAACGCAGCAGGTGTTGAAAGCAGCCAACTGCAAGTCTTGTAACTGGCACGAGTAGCATGAGCACATGACTGATGCGGCGAAGTATTCGGACTGACGCAGTGCTCAGCTCTCGGACATTGTGTGCGCATGTTTCAGCAACCTTGTGACTCAGAGGCAAAAGGCATCCGCACAAAACCGAGTTTAGCCGGAAGGCTGTATTCGATATGCTTAAGATACGGAGCCAGTGCAGTTGTGGCCATGGGATGGTACGACATGGTACGACAAAAAAGTCGCGCGCGCGCGCGGCGGCGCATCGCAAGGCCGGGGCGGGCAGTGAGGACAATAAAGGTAGTGTGGGCGGTGTGGGCGGTGTGGGCGGTGGGGGCGCGGTGGGGTCCGGGCACACATTGGCAGCCTTTAAATACTTATTTTACTCTTTAAACACCTACAAATACAGCGGGCGGTGGGAACGGTGAAAGCGGTGGAGGGGGATGAAGGTGGTGGGGGTGGTGAGGGCGGTGAGGGCGGTGTGGGCGGTGTGGGCGGTGTGGGCGAGCGGTGGGGTCCGGGCACACATTGGCAGCCTTTAAATACTTATTTTACTCTTTAAACACCTACAAATACAGCGGGCGGTGGGAACGGTGAAAGCGGTGGAGGGGGATGAAGGTGGTGGGGGTGGTGAGGGCGGTGAGGGCGGTGTGGGCGGTGGGGGCGGTGTGGGCGGTGTGGGCGGTGGGGGCGCGGGGGGGTCCGGGCACACATTGGCAGCCTTTAAATACTCTTATACTCTTTAAACACCTACAAATACAGCGGGCGGTGAGAGCGGTGGAGACGGTGGGAACGGTGAAAGCGGTGGAGGGGGATGAAGGTGGTGGGGGTGGTGAGGGCGGTGAGGGCGGTGTGGGCGGTGGGGGCGGTGTGGGCGGTGTGGGCGGTGGGGGCGCGGGGGGGTCCGGGCACACATTGGCAGCCTTTAAATACTCTTTACTCTTTAAACACCTACAAATACAGCGGGCGGTGAGAGCGGTGGAGACGGTGGGAACGGTGAAAGCGGTGGAGGGGGATGAAGGTGGTGGGGGTGGTGAGGGCGGTGTGGTGTGGGCGGTGTGGGCGGTGAGGGCGCGGGGGGGTCCGGGCACACATTGGCAGCCTTTAAATACTTTTTTTACTCTTTAAACACCTACAAATACAGCGGGCGGTGAGAGCGGTGGAGACGGTGGGAACGGTGAAAGCGGTGGAGGGGGATGAAGGTGGTGGGGGTGGTGAGGGCGGTGAGGGCGGTGTGGGCGGTGGGGGCGGTGTGGGCGGTGGGGGCGCGGGGGGGTCCGGGCACACATTGGCAGCCTTTAAATACTTTTTAAAAGGGCGGCGGTGGCGGTAGGGGCGGTGTGGGCGCGGAGGGGTCTGGGCACACATTGGCAGCCTTTAAATACTCTTATATACTCTTTAAACACCTACAGATACAGCGGTGAAGGACTCTTTAAACAGAGCGGTGAGGGCGGTGGGGGCACTGGGGGCGCGGAGAGGTCCGGGCACACATTGGCAGCCTTTACATACTCTTTAAACACGTATAACAGCGGTGAAAGACTCTTTTAACAGAGCGGTGGAGGCGGTGGAAGCGGTGTGGGTGCGGACACCTCTCGGGATATCACGGGCGCCGCCCGCAGGGGTCGGCGGATACACACATATATATATATATATATATACACGTAGACGTTATCCCTGGCCACCTGGAATGAAGTGTGCACATATGTACAAGATACAGACACAAACAGACACGTATGTGTGGGTGTGGGTGTGTGTATATATATATATACATATGTATATATATATATATATATATCTGTATATATATATATATATATATATATATATGCATGATGCGTAGCACATGCAGTGATGAGTTCGCACATGCATCAAGTTGAAGGTGCTGTGCTTGGGACCAGGCAATAAACGAACTGAAGATTCAACAGGTTCTCGTGTGTGTATGTTTCTGAAGTGCACTCGTGCATGTACTTCGTTCATGCAGCGTATCGTACGCATACACCAGGCTTTAGACAGACCTGTGCTTGTACTCACAACAAGACCTAGGAGTTGAGAAGCGATATTCAAGTTTATGGTGATGGTGTCTACATAGACATGCAAAGACATGGGTATAACAATGCAGAATACGGAGCCATATAGATCACTGACAGGAAAACAAAGACAGGCAGATAGATGCGCGCCGAGGTTATGACAACCGTATAAGTCGCTCATGCCTGCCTGTCTGTCTATCTATCTGTCTGTCCGTCTGCACGTCTGTATGTTCATATGTCTGCATGCTGGCATTTGTACGAACATATAGTTGTAGAGGCTCGCATACTCGTATATCCAGAATCCAAGCGGGTATGCATGGACATGCATGTATGTATACAAAAATTGGATGCACATAGCGTAGATGTGCAACAAAAAGGCTACACCTGGAATCATGGTGATGGAGCGAGCATGAGCGCATGAGCAGGCAGATGCCGAGCAACGAGAGGCCGTGGACCCGTCGCTGACTGTTGTTTTGTCATGCAGTCAGAGTCAGGCTTCTTATGCTTCCTTGTCGAACCGTGCGGGGAAGGGCGTGGGCAACTCCGGTTCCGTTTCAACATGTCTGTGTGAGGGTGTGCGAGGTTGTTGCAAGCATGCCCCATTCGACGCCCAATTGTATAAACCGTGCAAGGCGAATTTGGAGCGCGAGCTGATGCTGCAACTCGAGGTTCGGTGCTGCTCCAGTGCTTCCAGTTTCTCCCGAGCATCCGGTGGAGGGAGTTGCAGAGGAGCGCAACATGGCAAAGATGGCAAAGGGCACTGTACGAGGCAGCGCAACGAACACCTCATCCGAACCCACAGAACCGGAGCGCAACATGGCATAGGAGAGGCTCGCAATGATGCGGCGGGCACTGCGCTGACCCTTCAGACAAGAACACCTACAGCAGAGACGTTTGCACCAAGACTGACTTGAGCCATGCGGCTTGCACCACTTGCATATTTGCTGCTACGTTTTGAGAAAGAGTCACCGCTTTGAAGTTGTGCTCGCGTCAGCTGCGAGTCTGCCGGCAAGGAGGCGACGGCCACGATTCGTCGCCTTGAGGCCGGGCCACGCAGGGGCGCTCCCGCAGGGTGCCGCGCTGCAGGGTCGAAGTTTCCGTTTTCGGCAGGGGGAGCTCCGGTCCTCGGAGCGACGACATCGCGTCCTCTCCGAGGCTCACAGTCTCCCACTCTCTGTCTCTCCTTCGTATGAGTGATTTTTTTGTTCTCTCTCTCTCTCTCTCTCTCTTTTCGGCATGCGTCGTGCCGTCGTGCGGGGGGTCTCGTGCGCCTGCGCCCAGGAGATCGCCTCCTTGCAAAGCTTGCTGGACGACGCCGAGCTGCAGCAGCGCAAGGCCGGAGCCGAGCGACGAGCGGCGCCCGGAACACAGCGGAGAGCAGCGCAGCAGCGGAGAGCGCTCTTCGGAGGCGCGGCAGCAGCGCGCAGCCCACTCGGAGCGGTTGGCCGCGGGTCGGAACGAGCTGCAAGCGAAGGCGCGCGAAGCGGAAACTCGTGGTTCGCTCGTGCCGTGAGCTATGGAATCAGAGGCCGTGGCATTCACGCTGTGGCTCCGAGCGTTAGCGATGCTGCGGTGCGAAAGGCATGAACTCCAGGCGTGCATGACATGTATAGTTGTTAACCAACTGATTAAGTTGTCAGCAGCAGTTGGGACACGGAGTTCGGCTGTCAGACTCCTAAGAATCATGCTCGGGAGTGCCTCGGAATGTGGATAGAAGTGGGGTGTTGTCTTGCGATCAGTGTGGCATGGTGTCCCGCCGTGACGCGAAATCAAATCAAGTGACCGTGCTCTTGCAGGTGATGGAGCATGAGCTTGCCCTGAAGGAGACTTCGAATCACTCTCCCAATGGCTGGCGGCCACTGATGCTGGACACAAGGGTCCCGGTGCTGTCATCAGTCGTTTGCCACGGGAGGATGCGGCCGAACGGCATCGCCTTGAGGTTCAGGACCTGCTTGCTGCGGTCGTCTGCACTCAGATCAGCTCACGGAGACCTGAAAGGAGTGGGAGCGCAGGCATTGGACTCAGAGCCCGATGGCTTCGGGGTCGGGTTGCCTTCACGCGAGAATGACAATGTGTCGAGCATGGTGATGCTTCAACTCGTCTCTCGGGGGGTCGAGAGCGAGTAGGGTAGGGTGTCGCATCGCTCAGAGTCGCATCGGCCTCAGCAATTCCGCAAGACTTGGGAGGAGCTTCTACGAATCAACCCCCGCCGCTGTCTCAGCCCAGGCTCCAGGAGCGGCTTGCGGAGATTGAGGCTCCGGAGTTCCTTTCGCAACCCTAAGCCTTAGAGTTAGGATACCCTCTCAGCCTGAAACCATCTGAAACCCAACAGACAGACACCCGAGCCCTAACCCTTCACCCCTGGGCCTTAGCCGGAAACTGGGACCTAAAGCGCAGGCCTTGGGCCAGCAGCGCGATCAAGAGCTCCGCGGATCCCAGGATGTCCTTCGCTCAGTCTCATGGCTTCTTCGGAACCGGAGTTCGATTTGAGGGTTTCAGTTTCCTTTGTAAGGGGGAGGGTTTGGGGTTTGGTTTAAGATTCGGGTTAGGGTTTAAGAATTTGGGGTTTGGGGGCTTGGAGTCTCATGTTTCGCTCGTTTAGGAATAGGACATTAGATGATACCTCCTTGTTTGAGGTCATGCCATAAAAGTGTTCCCTACAATCCTTCGTACGTTTCAGGCTGCCTGAAGTTGGCTGTCTAACTTCTGAGACCCCAATCAAAAGCAAGCGAGGTCTTTGACCTGGAGCTTGCCCGGGTCCACCAAGCTCATGCGGATGACAAAAAGATGCGCGAGGCCAGGCCAGACACGTTGTCATGGTGACGTGATGATTGGAAGTTGGCATGGCTGGCCTGGCCGCAGCTTGACAGGAAGAACATCGGTTGCAAGCCGAAAAACATCATTTGGCCCTGGAGGTGGGACACGGGGAATGGGGAACAAAGCTGCAGGGGCTCGGGAGAGGAGAGGCCGCTGTCGGCTTTGCCAGGAGCTCCAGCGACAGCAATTTGAGGCCACCTGCTGTGGTACCCGTGACGTGTTTCGCGGTTTGGGTCGTGCTCCTTGCACCTTGAGAGGCAAAGCAGAAGCTCCTGATGTCTTCGTTGGCAGCATTGAACGGGCAGCGTTCAGAGGCCGGCTGCAGCCTTCTTGATGAGTGAAAGAATCTGCATCTTTACAGGGGCTGCGGAGGGACTACTTCACGGCTTGGGCACAGTACCTCGTGCACGTGCTGGACTCGGCAATGCTGTGGCCAGAGTTCGCGTCACATCTTCGGCTACCAGCCCAGGTCAGGAGGATTCGCAGCGAAGAGTGGAAGGAGCAGGACGAAGCCCTTGGAACTTGGGTTCGGTCCACTCCTGATGTCTGCAAGACAGGAGCTGCAGCGACTCCAAGCGCAGCATGATGCCCTGCACGGGAAGCTCCAGGACAGGCAAGAGCAGAGGGCAGAGACAGAGAGAGAGAGTTTCGGAGCGACGCAACAGGAAACGTCCAGATGGAGAGGTGGGAGTGTAGAGGCCAAGGGAGGCATTCGCAGCCACTTGGACTAGCAGGAGCGGGAAGCTGCCTTCGCCAGGCAAGGGGGATTTGTGCTGCGCTTGGGGCTTGTTTCGACTTTCATACTGCTTCGTCCGATCAGGCACAGGACGAACCGGGGCGACCAGGAGGGGCTCAGTGGACTTTTCGGGCTCCGTTCCGCTTCAGCCCCGAGGTCGCCACGACAAAGCAGAAGCTCTGGATCAGTCCTTTTGGCTGCAAGGAGAGGTTCCGGAAAGTCCGCAGTGGTCCAAACGTTTAATTAGGGCCTGGGTGGTTTCTTTATTGTATTTTATTGTGCTTGGCATCAAAGGTCAGGTCCTGGGCGCATGGCTGCTCGTGGCAGTGGCCATGCGCCTGGCACGTGCCAGGGAGCTGGAGGCCAGCGAGGCCCCGTCCGTTGGCCCCCAGAAGCCCCGAGGTTCCGAAAGCTTCGGCTAAGGTAGGTCTACAGGTTCAAAGGGCTTGAGTCTACCTTAGAACAGCGAGCGCACCAAGATGTGTATGTTTTTTGCATGGCCACTCAACGATCTTCCTTCAGGGATTCCGGGAGTCTTTTCGGAGCCGTGCGCAGGATGGCTTGTTGGGGCCTGCATCGGAGGGTCTCCGAAGAAGCAAAGGTGAGGCAAACCAAACCATCGCCTCACTCGCAAAGATCAGTCAGCGTCAGTCTTGATGGTATATTCCTTGACATATACTTGTTTATGTACAGGATATACCTTCTTGATATAGACATAGAAAAATTATCCAGCGAATCTCCCCCGCATCCCATAGTCTGCATCAACGAATCCTAAACAGGTCCTAAACCATAGACTCGATGCTTGTTGGCGGCAACAAAGGGCCGAAGCTCTACCGTCACGACGGCGAAGGCCCCAAGAAAGCCAAGAGTGCCAGGCCGACCGGCTCCGGGCAGAGCTACAGCGTCTGAGTCTCGAGAGCGGCAGGGCACTGAGGCGCGAGCAGGGGTGACCTTGTCAAAAGTCACCCGCCAGGTGTGGCGCTTTCGAGTTTAGGGCGTTTGGTTCAGGGCATACTTTGCAGTGTACAATGAAATCCCGTGAGGAGTCAAGCCGGCGAAACGCTTGAGCTGCGGCGGCGACAGGCAACTCAACCCAACTCAAGGGGACAGGATCCATAGTGCTACGCATGCTCTGTGTTTCGAACTGGCCTTGTAGGCGCTGCTGCTTCAGATCTTGCGTTCCTGGCTCCGAAGTGTTTGGCAGCAGCACCTCGAAGCTGCTTGGCAAGTGCACGTTGTGATGTGCAGGTGTCCGGAATCCGGAATGTCGTTGCTTAGACAGAGAAAGTCGTCGGCTATAGCAGGTGATTGCTGATCACTTTGTCATTTACACAGTCGAGATGTATGTTCCGCCAAGGCTCGCCGAAGCGAGACAGATGAAGTCTCAAGGCGTCTTGGTGGCCGCAATTCGCGGAAGGACCTGAACCATCTTGTTGGGAAGCGGGGTCCTGCGGACAGTACCGAGCCTCCACGTCCAGCCGACGGGATCTCACCGGCAGATCCGTGGGGGTTTCGTACGCTTGTGTTACTTCTTGCAGTGTACATCGTAAGATGAGCTTCGGAGCTCGGTCAGGTGGATAGGGGGTTGACGATTCGTATGTTGGCCTGGACAAGCAAGCTGGGCATCTACAGACCCACAAGACACAAGAGCCTAAGCCTTCCGAGCCTACTTGTAGTTCAATCTGAGTCGAGGTTGAAGTACATGTGTAATTTTAACGCTACGCCGCCCGCCTCGGCTCTGTAGCGGCAGGGCGAGGCGGCAGTGGATGTTGTATACAGCATGCTAAGCGGGAGTGTCGGGGAGGGGGGGAGCCGGACAAGGGGGTGGCAAATGAGCGCAAAAAACGGGTGTCCCCACACATTTGGACTGCAGGGAGGAGGATGAGGTGGAGGGTACCTGAGGTAACCACCAAGACGCCTGGGCCTGTAACCGGTTAAGGCCTTCCAGCCATGCCGCCCGGAGCAAGAAAAAACAACACAGAAAGAGCCTGAAAAGAAAGACAGGCAGTGGATTGACGACCCAAAGTGGGGGCGAGGAAGACGAAACGAGGGCGGGGAGAAGAAGTGGGAGCAGGAAAGAGGAAGAAAAAGGGGGGGGGAGGGGGGGGAGGGGGGGGGTGAAACCATAAACCTCTAAAGGGGTAGCTCTAACAGGTACCTACAGCAATGGCTGCATGCTCATACATATACATTCCGCTGCCCATTGGCTCACAGTGGTTTTACCATATTGAGACAAGACAAGCTCTCCTTGCGTAGCAAGACAAAACAACTACTGTCCGTGTGCAGGGCGCTGCCCTTTGATCCTTAGGGAATAAACTGGTCATACACCTCCTTACAAGGAGTATCCCTTGGGGGTGTATCGGCACAGTTTTCTGGTAGCGGAGCCCGGAAAGGGCCGCCCGCCTCACAAAGTCCGCTACAGCGGTCGGCCTCGCCGAACGCTTAACCAAGCGGATAAGAGGCAGCACAATGTCGAGCTCGCATAGCGAAGCCGACGGCAGTTCCCAATCCTCCGGGGGATATGAGAACGAAGAGACCTCCCAAGGTCCAGCTACTTATGTCGCACAGTCATATGCAACATCTGACCGCATGCTTGCATCATTAGGCATAACGCCCAAGATCGCGCCTGCCTATGATGGCACCACCTCGTGGTTTGAGTATGAACAGTTGATTGACGACTGGTGCGATATAACAACGCTGGATGATACCAAAAGAGGTCCGTCTCTCAAGACGAGGCTCTCCGGATTGGCCGCAGTACAAAAAGAATCACTCAACCGAGAAAGGCTTGCAGCCCCAGACGGAGTAGATTACTTCAAGAAGAAGATGCGTCCATTTTTCGTGAAAGGAGAACAGTACGTTTTCCTGTGGCGTTTTCTCGGCCTATTCAAGGCATGGAAGGGCAACCAAGACTTTGTGACTTGGATTGCTAAGTTTGAGATCGTGCTACAGCGCGTGAGAAACTCATGGATGGATCTCTTACCAGAGATAATTCTGGAAGATGCCCATCCTGATTTCATGCAGGCTGTGCAAGCAGATCAAACCTTCATGCGCCTACAGGATGCAACCGAGAGAGACACATACGCCGCACGTTTCTTCGAAACATGGAACAAGGAACGCCTTGATAATCATCGAAGAGCGTTTCCTCTAAATGATAATCTCCTAGCTCTCCTCTTCCTAGTGCAGTCCGACCTAAATGAGATGCAACGTGAGAGGTTGGTAACAGCATTGACCAACCAAGGTTACCGAATTGAGACCTACACGTACCCTATAGTACGGCAGACCATGTTCGATCAGTTCTCAACGACCAGAACTGGTCTGCAGGATCCCAATATTCGGCACACTTCTCACAAGAAGGACCGCCATGGAAGGAGAGATCAACGCCGCAAACGCGGAGGTCGAAACTTCCTCATCCTCGATCAGGGTGAATACGACGGAGTCGATGGATTCTGGCTTCAAGACGAAGACACCCTTGAGGAAGGCTTTCTTGCCGCCGAGGATGAAGAAGCTGTCTTCTGGACAGTTGACGACCATGAGGCCTTCGTTGCAAGGAGATTCAAAAAGGGAAGAAGACCAAGAATGCGTCCCGGATCACCGGGAAGAGCAAAGGGTGGCAAGCGAAAAGGACGTGGCCGTTTTAGGTCATACCGCGGAAAAGGGAGAGCCAACCAGGCAGAACATGATCCAACTGATTCCAGCTATTTCGGTAAAGGTAAAGGAAAGGAAAAAGGAAAAGGTGGAAAAGGCAAAGGAAAAGGAAAGGACAAAGGAGATAAAGGAAGCTCCTTCAAGGGTACAAAGGCAAAAGGCAAAGGTAAGGATACAGCTAAGTCTGCCTCCTTACAAGGAGACCAAACTGGATCTCCACAGGCCTATGAAAGTTCCACCGCACCGAGCTGGGATTCATGGTATGAGGACAGTTATTATACTGACTCCAGTTGGAATTATGCCGCTTATGACGATCAAACGTCTTATACATACTATGCATCACAAGCCTCACGAAGAAAGACACGGAAAAAGAAGAGAAGAAATCAAGCAGGATCATCAGGTAGAGGCACAGATCCGAGCGCGCACCAAGAACCCGTGTACAACTCATCAGTGAGTTACGCGCCCCAGGTTTTTGAACCATCCGAGGGGCAAGGTGTGGAGACTGCAACAGCAGTGTTTCCGTTGCAGCACACCGTCCTATCTGCTCTCACCGAGCGGATCAATCTTGATAAGAGCCCTACCTTTGTCATTCTTGACTCTGGTTGTACTAGGGCTATGGGTTCCCGCTATGCGGTGAACAGGCTTATCAAGGCCGTGAAGCAACATGCCCCAGGCATGATTGATTTCACTTTTTCACCTTCGAACACGAAGTTCTCTTTCGCAGATAGTGAGACAGCTCTTATCAAGGAGCGTGTAACTCTATGGTTTAACACAACTCCAAGAAGAGATACAACCATAGAAGTTTTGGATCAGGGAAGAGTCCCCATCTTGTTCTCCATTGAACAGATGAGGAATCTAAGAATGACCCTCGAGTGTAGTCCAACAGCTGACCTAGCAACGTGTGAAGCTTTCGGTTTGTATAAAACCCCTCTTCCGATTAGTACCAATAACCATTTGGTATTGGACCTTCTAGGCTTTACTTCCACCAGGAAGTACCTTCCTAAGTCAGGTACATCGTTCCGTGCGACGGAGACTGCTCTAGGAGCCAATAAGCCTTATGTTAGGATACCGGAAGGTCGCTGTCCAGCCTGTGCCGGACAGAAAAAGGCTCACACGTACCTCAAGGGTTGTGACAGAGCACCTGAGGGAGCAGCTGATCCACCACCGAAGAGGATTTCAGGCAAAAAGAAGCCTCTTTCATCTGATCCGGCAGAATCCTCTGCCAAGAAACTTGATCCACCAGAATCATCTGGAGATGTTCCTGAGCCTTCCGGACCATCGGAACCATCATCAGGCTCTAGAGACAAACCTGCAGAATCCTCTGCACCGCATGAACCTCCAGAAGAAGAAAGACTTGAGGTTCCATCTGCGAAGATAAAGACTCCAAAGGGTCTTAAAAACCTTCTGAAGAAAACCCGCAAATATGCGGACAAACCTCCTGTTGAAGAGAAGTCTACAGTCCCAGGAGCTGATGACGGGACGGAGGTAAGACCACTTGAGTCAAGAGAATACCCGGCTCCTGGCACAGACTCACCAACAGGTGAAGAGATTGTCGCAGAACCTTCGCCATCTCTTCCCATTGCTCTTCGCAGGATTCATGAGAAGCTTAAGGACCCTGTAGAACTCTACAAGCTTCACCTTAAGCACCGTCATATGAGTACGGATCAGTTCAAGCGACGCACAAAAGCCTTACAGATCCCAAAGGAGATCTACGAGCTATATGACCAACTGGTCAAAAAGTGTTCAGCCTGCCAGGAACATGTGAGAGCTCCTTCGAGAGCGAAGATTTCTGGTCTAAGATCAGAGACTTTCGGTGATCTCACCTTCGTAGATCACGGTGAGCTTCCAATTCCCGGCAAGGATAGTCGCTTAGTATTTCTTATTCTCTATGATGGAGCAACAAACTTGTTGACTGCCGAAGTAGTCCAGGATAAAGAAGAACATACTACAATGTCGATTATGAATGACTACTTTGAGAAATTTCAGATCAACCCAAAGGTTGTAGTTGGAGATCAAGCATTCATGACTCCAAAAATGGAGGCTTATTACAATCGGCAGAATATCAAGCCTGTGGCAACAGGACCTGGAACACCATGGCCCAACAGGGCCGAAGCTGCTGTAAGGTTGCTGAAGCATCAGATTAAGCTCATACTTCAGATCCTGAAGGATGGTGACCCGCAGTATAACGGAATCACCATGAAGTATGGCAACCTCGTTCGCCAAGCATGTTTGGCAAGAAACTCTTCGATTACCTACGGAGGAGTTACTCCTTTGGAAATGGCCTTCGGAAGGCGTCCTCGAGATGTTATCACACCTGAGAACGCCGATCCCAATCAGTTGACAGGTAATCCAACTGATACGGAAGTCACTGCGAGAGCCATTAAGGAGCTTGCCAACAGGGCTTACCAAGAGGCACGCCAATCTGATGATCTGCGTAGAGATCTTGCAGCCAGACTGTCAATGACCCAAGGACCTTTCTCTTTGGGAGATAAGGTTTTCTACTGGTCAGAAGATAAGTCTAAGATTGGATCCACTGGGTCCAAACATGGATCTTGGCTAAAAGGTAAGGTG